AAAGTTACATGTTCATAAACGCAGGCGCCACGAAAGTGCCGCATTGTGTCGGACAACCGGCGCGCGCGCAGCTTACGTCCACACTCAGTAAGTAAACAGTACAGTTTCACCGCTAACACTAATCTACCGTGTTTGTCTGTTTGTATTATTTTGTTTTTTTAAACTTTGTACGCTGTAGTACGTGTGTTATGGGATAAGTGTAACTTCGGATGTTTTAAGTTCCTACTAGCATGTTTTCTTGAATATTTCAATTTGTGAATATTTTTTCTACATATTGTTTTTGGTTCGATCAACTTCTGTAGTGGATTCGTCAAGCTTTCCTACCTAAAAAAAATAGACAGCTTTGCATCAAACCAGCTTTCGCCTTTCTTTGATTTGATAGGTAGGAAATGAACTTTTGCCCATTAAGTCTAAATCCAGACTTAGCAATGCTGTTTAATTAATTACGGGTGTAAAATACTCCTGTTCTGTTCATTTTATGTTTATTTCTTCCTCCTAAACAAAATCACACTATTTGGATTAGATCAATCTATACAATCTAAGTTTCTTTTACATTAAATGTAGTTATTCTTCTTGGCAAAAAATGTCTACTATATCCTTGATTTTAATTCGTTCACGCCTGATTAGTCACTAATATTAATTTTTCAGTTATAACGTTCTATTTATTGATAAACTAACCAGTTTACCTGATAATAATTCTTTAAAATTCTACCCACAACCAGGCAGACAGTTTCCAATAAATCTAAATCCATAACAGCACAGCAACATACGCACGTAATTAGACATTCAAACAAAATGCGCGGAAGTACAAACAAGAAATTGTTTTAAAACATAATACTAATATGAATTTAACTGAAAACCGGTTAATCTTTTGTAAGAAGCAATTATACAATAAACAATCTTGAAATAGCTTTCATTTTCTCTATTACAGGGCTTGTCAACCCTTTCTCTAGGTTCGATCGTAGCTTCGCATCATTATTTGTTGTACACGGAATGAAATTATCAGTTGGTAATATTACAAGATGAAAGATGATGTTACTAATAATACTGCAATCAAGTTACAATAACACTTTAAGCTCTTGAATGCATCATTATGAGACACAATAGAAAATGCATTGTGTCTTGCGTGGATCCGCGTGTAGACACATGGAAGGTTAATGATGAAACCTGAAATCACTTTGCAGACTACAGTCGCCTTATAAATACTTAATCAACTAATAATTACAATTCAATGTCGCGTTCCGCGCGCACCTCAAAGACCCATCAGACGACCACGGCTGGGGCCCAGTAGGGCTGATCCGCGGAGAACCTAACGGGTTTCCGGGGCTTCAGATCGAAGTGCAGGAGAAGAAACGGGGTGGTTTTTAGTCATTAAGAGTGTGATACTCCTTCAAGCCACACCCAGGCGGGAGAAGCCAATCGATGACGTTCCCTCCTTAAAAAAAATGTTGTAAAATTCTCTTAAACTGATCATTGACATAAGACTGTACGTCTTATAGAAACACTAAGAAAATTGAAGGATGTGATACAATCATCCTAGGAGAATGTTTAATGTGCCACGTAAGTACTGGATCACTGGATCGTACACCAGCAGTTCAGCAGCTCTGTCCTAGTAATGACTTGTTATGACGGCCCGAAATGGTCAATGTTAGCTGTTATTTCAATGTAGGCGAGCTTTTGCCGGTTGAAGTCTAAATATTACAGCAATTATGCCGGAATAGTTAAATAGACTTGTTAAAATTAAACTGAAGAATTTGACTAGCGAAAAGTTAAAACTATAAATGCAGTTACTGAGCAAATGTTATGCAGTTTACAGATAGATACAAATTCAAGTTTGCATATTAGAATTATACGCCTTTGTTATTATGCTTTAAAAATATGTGTATTTATAGGCGTACCACAGGGTTCAACATTGGGTCCCTTCCTCATTTCGACACAGCCCATTTAACCTGCGAAAGGACAAGCAAGTGGCTACTAATTAGTTATTTTATAATTTCAGGTTTAATAGCGATCTATGTTCTATCTTCGACTGTATATTTTTGTAAATGTTGATGAATCTTAAGCACCTACGAACCCACGGTAGTTATTCCTATCTATAATCTATCTACGGTTCACTAACAGAATTTATGACGCTGTCATGTCATAATCTAATCATACCGATTTCCTTTGCGAGGGCGTCAAAATGAAAACCAGTAGCATCAACCTTAGGTGTCGTACAACCAATCAAACAAATAAAGTGACACTTTCACACCGACACCGCCTCTATCTCCCAGCTATAAGGGTTGTTTTCGCATCACAAGTGTGACCATGAACCGTGGTTGATTGTACAACGATTATCATTTTAAAACATGTCCGCCCACAGCCTTAAGAATAAATTAAACACTTTACTTTTGACAGGGGACGTTAATTGGATATTTAAACCACTTAATTTTCAAACGTTTTTTCAATAAAATGCAACCATATTGATAACTGAGTTACGAAACGGCTTAACGTAACCCCGTTGTGAAATAACTATAAAACCGTTATCATTTAAAACTCTTGGTAAACTAGCCTTCATTAATACTAATCCAAAGTGGTCCATATTATCTATGATGGTTATAAATTAAGTAGCTGAGGTTAGCCAACATCCCGACTTGGACGTATAAAGAGTTACCGTGGCCACACACGGCGCAGGAATAAAAAAGTTTACTGACGCATCGTGTGTTGTCTATGGGCTTTGAACCTCCTTTGTCCTGTAGATAAAAATTAGTTTTAATGTATTCATTTTGATCATGCTGTGAGGATTTCTGTTTAGATAACATTTAAGTATTGAACAGGCTATTAAGATAAGATGGGGACAAATTGAGTCCATTTCACATTACAGACGTTAATAATGTGATGTTTAGAATCTAAACATGAGCACAATTTCGGATATGGGTTAAGGATGTTTTGAATCATTGGTATTATCTAACTGACTGCCTCTTTGGCCTAGTGGTCGCAAGTGCGACCGGGCAAGGGGTCTCGGGTTCGATTCCCGGGTCATGCAAAAGAATTACTGGGTTTTATAAAAAATCTCAGTTGTAGCTCGGAGTCTGGAATTGCGGTATAATACCTATGGCAATAGGCTCACCCCCTATTACATGGGATTCATAACATAAATAGTGAAAAGTGGGTTTACATTGTACAGTAGCGTAATGTGCACCTCTGTCTAACCCTTCGGGGATAAATGGCGTGATGTTATGTATATTAATTTGGAGTAGAGTATAACTTATTGAGACCGCTTCGTTGGCCAACTGACAAGGCGTCCTGGATTCGATTCCGAAGTGAGGCAAATGCTGTTGAAAGTCGCTGATATACTACCCCATCGAAAAATAAATAGACACTCATTTGGTATTTGTTGCGAACTGTAGACTTGTAGTACTTAGATATTAACTGGATGCATACCCAAGTGGCGCAATGGTTGAGTGACTGATTGATTGGGCACTATTGCACGAGTTTGAAACAATTCAAAAATTAGTGTGGTGTTTGGAAACGCTTTCTGATCTGACCCTGACACAGGAGAAGATCCTAAAGTAGAGCATCAAAGAATAATAAATCTAAGATTGCATCCAGCAACAGTTACTTAATGTCGTAATATTTAAAGCAAAACGGTAACACTATTTATATTTCGCTTCGTCAGCATTACCAATGCCATGATAAAAATCTTAAAAAAAAACATTCCATTCAGCCTCTTACAAAGGAGTTTCCTGGTTCATAACGTTCTTTGTTAATGCTCCCGACGATATGGCGGGGCGTAGCCATTGTCACCAGCTCGTGGGCGATGCGCCTGACATCAGATTTTGTAAGTGAACAGTAAACGACATCTTTACATCTTGGTTTGCGTTTGAGTAATCGAAATACCTGAACGTAACTTTGTAGGCGGTGTTTCTATTTATGTTGTGAAAGACGGACAAGATATTAGATCAAGTATTACTAAATAAATAGTTATGTGCCTACTCGGTGGGCTTAGAACACCCACTTAATTATATTTGTTAGTTATTTCTACCTTTCTGATCAGTACCGGTAATTATAATCATGCAAAAAGTAGTGCATCTTTCTTTTAGTATGTTTAGCACCCTTAAGTCAAATCTAAAGTGTTCTATGTATAATGCTTAAGCCTTTCTTAGAGCAACCAGCGTAATGTTGTTAGAATCAAAGACGGTAGGCTGTTGCGCAACGAGCCGCCGCAAGTTCGGTTTCCGCACGGGACAACAGACTCTGTGTGATCCACAATTTATTGTTCCAGGTCTAGGCGTCACGTGTACGAGTGCATATATGAAATTATACGTATTGTTTGTAAACGCATACACGACACAGGAGAGAAACCTATTGTGAGGCAACCTAAGAAATGTTTACCTACTTTAAATTTGTTTTGATAAGATGAATGTTAAAATAGTGTTTGTTAAATGTGCAAGACTGAGGCCATACTACGATATTATTATTGATTGCCCCACGGCTATAAACCGGATACTTAAATATCCAGATAATATTAACTATTAGAGATTTTTTTAAAATGATAGTTAAGTAAAAGAAAATTTTGTGGTCCTGCTATATAATGTTTAAAACAAATTTTGCTACGGTTTTTTTCGCTGAAATTATTTGCGGAGCACAGTTGTCTAAACGAAAACCTACCTTGACGTACTGGATATAGTATTGAAGTCTTTGCTGCTGACTGTGCCATCGCAACCCTATCATGCTTTGTAAACGCGCGTCAGTTGTTATTGACACTGTCATTTTGTTGACACCACTTATTTCGATTACAACCTCAACCTCAACCTAATTACTGTAAACAAAATATTGCAAAAGAATTATTTATAAGTTTCCTATAATTATACATTTAGATACACGCCTATAAAAATAATACACAGTCTATTTTTTCATAAATCCTGTTTCTGTCTTTCTAACCATTCCTGAACTGGCGCCATTAATGTCATAACCGTATGTCAATGTCAATTCGGTTTTCCCCAGTCTGTAAACTGACTTCGTAAGAATATTATTGCTATTTGTGAGTCTGTATGTAAATATTGATTATTTAAGACTTTATCACGATACGATTTTTCAAGGCTAAGGCTGAGATATGATATTCCATTAACCATTCAGTCAGTATTCGCTACAAGTGTAGATATTTTACTAGATCTATGCAAAAAAAAAACATTTTCTCGTGTCTATTAAAATTACGAAAAATGATTACTGAGTCACGATTTAAGTGAATTTCCCGCGTGAGTACGGTGTATTAATGACGTGTTTTAAGTACTTTTAGTTGATTGTGGAACTGTTATAGTGAAGACGTGTTAGTTGCAAGTTTTGAAATAAAAACATGGATAAAGTAAAGCTGTTCTGGTCTAAAACTAACCGGTGGCATAGAGGTACGTAGACAATATAAATAATAATATAATATTTATTAAATCGGCATAGGTACATTAAAAACCTAAAATGTTTTATTGACAAACTTATATCCTGTGTTCTCTAAAGAACATTAATTTTAAAATAAAATTACTAGAATTTTATGAATACTGCAGCTAATCATTTATATCACCTGCACCTGATAATAGTGGTGATTAATAGATAAATATAGGTATTAGAAATATTAAACTAAATTAGGGATTAGTATGTAAGTACCTATTTTAAATGAAATTGTGCTTCTGCTACTTAGTTTGGTAATAGGTAATACTTTCGGATTCAAAGTCAATTAAAATTTCTATTTAGTTTTATCATTACCTATGCTATGATTGGTATTTTACATTATTCTCAATAATTTTATGATGTGTATGAATAAATTTGCATTGTCTGTGTAAAAACAAAAGTCCTGCATATGTAGGTCTAATTGTTTAATGTTTTATGTATCTATCTGGTATAATTCAGCTGGAATCATAACACATATTTATAATAAAATTATTATTTATAATGTTGCGTCACTCAATAGATTGCCTTAACTCGTTGAGTACCATCACTATAGACACAATTAAAGAACAATAGGTTGCGGTCACCGGTGACCGCTCGGTGTTTCAGATTTTAATATTGAGATAGTAAGTGCTATGGTTTTGTTACAGCAATTTAGTTAGCTTCTATGTCAAATGTGAATAAAGTGAAGTAACATTATATTGGTGTTTGTGTTGTTCTCCAAACCCCTCTAAAGCCGACCCTCTATCAAAGTCAAAGTCAAAATCATTTATTTCAATTAGACCAGCAAGGCACTTTTGAATGTCAACAATATATTTTTAAAAGTGAAGCTATTTGCTCATTCCCAGATGTAGACTTCAATGGAATTCCTCTGTCTTCTACAATCACTATATTAAATACAAAACATATCAAATATAGGTACATATACTTTACCAAAACTATGGTTTCTACCAGAGTGTAGAAACCATTTTTTCATTTATCCCATCAGGGGGGGCATATGCATCGGGTCCTCTAAAAGACCTGCCTCCAGAGCTCCCAATGCCTATAGTATTATTTATCATCACTATAGGTAGTTAATTCATCATAATAAATTAGTTAAATAGAAAATATTCACCAACTCATGTATAAATTAAATATGTCAGCGTTGGTGCACATTGTTGCATAATTATTATATTATTATTAAAGAATAATAAAAATTTACATTCAGCAAAATATGTTTAATACAAAACAACTTGTTGTAAATTTTAATTTATAATACATAGGTACCATCCATCCATTTTAATTATTTAAATAACAAATGATGTTGACAAAAGAAACTCCATTGTTAACTCATTCTTCTCCATTCGAATCTACACTTTGGAACATGCACCTAGCTTCACTCACGGACGGACGGGCAATTAAATTTTTAACGTTTTAAAAGTGCCTATATAAATATAAAAGAAATTAAAGATTAATTGAAATGAACGCTTTGACTTTGACTACTTTTTACCTACAGTACCTAAGTTTTTACATAATTATCATAACAATACACTTTACAATCCCCAAATTCTATGTTCAGTCCGTAAGGTTGTAAGATCTTTACCAAATCTATATGTGAAGGTCAATTTTTTAACATTTTTGAATAAGTACTTAATGCCCGTCCCGGTAATCGAACTCGAGACCCTTGCCCGGCAGTCACACTTGGTCACAAGTGCGACAAGGCCAACAAGAGCAATTAACAACTTTAGTAATATTAGCTACTTAGGTGTAAGACTTTGTGTTCCAACTGCCTATTAGAAACTTAAGACCATTTCTTAGCATAATTACGTATTATAAGTAATATCCATCATTAATATTAATTAGTATTTCTTCACTACGTAATGTGGGCATTATGTAACTTGTGTCATTATTTGTACAGATGTATTTGTGCACACAATATTATTATAACTTGGTATAAACTACTTACTAGTGACACTTAGTTACAGTACGTTTTGCTAAATCTTTATTTTTATAAATCTCTGAGTTTTTTTTTATTTTGATGTTTTTACCAATACCAGAGACAGGTTAAGACGGCATGGTAGGTGCGCTGCGTGGGCAACAGGCTGCGCGCAACGTGTCAGACACGAAGCAACTCTGTGTCATCCACAAATTGTTGTTTCTGGTCTGGGTGTCATGTGTATTTAAACTTCTTTTTTAAGTGGTGGGGTTTTTAACACATTGGCTGCCGTGTCGGAGAATGTTCTCCGACGCTAGCGGAGGATTAGCCTTAAACAGTTTTGTCGGCAGTTAAAGGCTTAATCCACGAATGACTTCTCCCGCCTGGGTGAGGCGGGAAGGAGGGAGTGACTCTTACTGACTAAAAACCACCCCGTTCCTTCTCCTGCACTTCGAGCCGGAGCCCCGGTAACCCGTTAGGTTCTCCGCGACTCCGAATCGGCATCAGCCCTATTGGGTCCCATCTGTGATGTGCATTTACAGATAACTCGAGATCAAACTCAAGTTGTATGTTTGTAAACGCACCCACGACACAGGAGAAAATGTTAGTTCAACACTTTTAAAGACAAAAAAAAGATTAAACCTAGCGAGCGCCCTAGACAGGCATCCCATTAATGCCTCTAATTTCTTCTGGCGCCGCTGTCTCTAAAGCCAGTAAACCACGCGCGTTTCGCGGCTTTTAATTCCTCTAGTTGAGTAGTGGCTGTCCATGAGCTGATCACTTCATTGAGTTGATGTGTCTTCTTTTATTCTAGACATTTAAGTGACCTGTAAAAATGTCGGGAGCATAGCTAGTTAAATAAATTATTATGTTTTCGGCTTACTCAGTATCAGTAGCAGCGCGACAGTCGCCGCGTCGCGGTTCGCGAAATGCTGCTCATAAATATGAGCATCTAGCATGGCTTGAAACTAGTCGAGTTCCTCGTCAAATTATTACGTGAGTAAGCCGAAAACGTAATAATTTATGTGTTTGTTGTTATCAAAATCAAATGAAGCTGAATCTATAGTTATCTCGCCGTGATATTGCTTTATCATACTGACTTAACAATTTATTAATATCATGCAGCTGACTCAATCATGAGCATTTTTCTGCTGTTGAAATAATATTAATTTATTTCAACAGACTGCTTAACTATTATGGGTAGAGTGTCAGCAAGCGTGACTGCCGAGCAAACCTCGGGTTCGATTCATATATCGGACTAAATACCTATTCACACACTCGGGGCCCGTGCCCAGGGCCTCCATCCTACAAGTTGCGCGGCAACTGGCTGCCCGGCAACGTGTAGCGGGTTCGATTCCCGCACGAAGTAAATCTTTGTGTGATCCACATATTGTTGTTTCGGGTCTGGGTGTCATGTGTATTATTGTGTATTTTAGTAAACGCATCCACATCAAAAGAAATTATTGAGTGCCTAAGGGCCCCAGCGTAGTCGTAAGACGGCCCTGCATAGCGGCCTACAATAGAGCACGCCTACCCATGGATAAGCAACCTACTAACTCGGGTCTTTAAGACACCCTTTAGGAAACAGACTTTGACAAAGAATTCCACTTCTTATTTTATAATAACTAGGTAGGTACAATAACCATTTTTTTACACCTCTGTCTACACCATAAGAGATAATAGATGAGAGATTAATAGGCGTCCCGTTGTGTTGCTTTTTTGAAAATTCAAAAATCTTCTTCACAGGCATTGAAAATAGAAAACAAATCGTAACCATAATTCATTATTCTTTTATTTAGTATGCTATTATAGCCTACAGTCGTTTGTGATAAAAGATAACGCATTTCAATTTACGTAGGTACGTACATACAGATTGTATGTACCTATATTTAAATACTTAGGTACCTACAGAAGTATAAATGTGCAACTATAGATATTTTTTATCTCTTTCTTGAAATGAATAGTTGGGTAATGTAGCTATACGAACGGTTACTATTCGCATACCTACATATGTAGGTTACCGTAACCGTTCTTCCCTGTTCTCGTGGGGATTTCGGGAAATCCTCATTTATAGTGTTCCCCTTTTAGTCACTGAGTAACCAAGCGGCAAGACACAACCGAAACTAGTTATAGGTCGTAGGATGCTGTGTGGTCCTGAGGCTGATATTATTACAGAAACCTGGTTAAGTGAGACATCAAGGGACCTGCAAAGTCGTTTCACTTATAGAGGTATTCCACTTACCCAGTGTCTCAGATATACAGGTATAAATAAATATCTGTCTCATTTACAAAGGGTTCCATTAATAAAGGTGGACTTAGAATTACTTGTGGAATTTATGGGTACAATAATAATGAGTACACAAACAATGTTATCTCAGTTACAGAGGTTTTATGCATATAAAATTCACTCGCTGTCTCAGTTAGAGGTAACTATGATGATAAATCGAAAGAACAAATCCCAGATATAGAGGTTTACCTCGTCCCACTAACAGGGGTAATTCAGTGCCAAAGTGTTGGGACCTCAGCATGAGTTCCAGTTATGGAGGTTTCTCACTAATCCAGGTCCCACTTAACCAAGTTTCACTGTATAATATCATGCCTTTTATCCCCGAATGGGTAGGCAGAGGTGCACATTACGGCACTTAATGCCACTGTACAATGTAACACCCACTTTTCACTATTTATATTATGACTCCCATGAAATATGAGGTGAGCCTATTGCCATACACAGGGCACAATTCCAGACTCCGTACTACTACCGATATTTTTTTTAAAAGCCCATTAGTATTTTGCCCGACCCGGGAATCGAACCCGAGACTTGCGACCACTCGGCCAACGAGGCAATCTCATTACAAAACTGTTTTAAGAGGCATTAGTTATTACAGAACTACCTAGCTAGGTAAAACTATTCTTTTTGCGCGTATCAAGTCACGTCCAAATACTTTTTTTTAATTTATGTATTGTATTGATCATGGCTATCCCCTTAACACGTACCCCTAATCCCTCCCAGAAGACACGGTGGAGCATACGGTGGTGGTGTGCCCAGCGCAGGCTGAGCACCACCGTCCGGCACTGGTTCAGGCCATGTTGCGGAGCGAGGGGGACTAGGATGCCGTCTCCTCCTTCTGCGAAACAGTCATGCTAGCCAAGGAGGAGGCGGGGCGCGTGAGAAAACGAACCTTCTTACGCCACTCCGGGCGTCGGAGATCGCGTGACGGTCTCCGGCCACCGTAAGAGCGGGTCTGCAGATGGTGAGCAATGTTAGCTTGTCGCCCGACCAGAACCAGACCCATGTGCGTACGGCCGCGCGCCTCAGACAGCCATCAGACCACCACAGATGGGTCCAATAGGGCTGATGCCGATACGGAGCCGCGGAGGGCTTAACGGGTTGCCGGGGTTTCGGTTCGAAGAGCAGGAGTAGAAACAGGGTGGTTTTAAGTCATTAAGAGTCTGACACTCCCTCTTGCTTCACCCGGGCGGGAGAAGTCATTGGATGATTTTCCCCCTAAAGAAAAAAATACCTCTAATTCCTAGAAGTCCCAGAATAACTATACCTACTCTAGTAGATGGTGACCAAATTGTTTTAACGTTCATGCAAAATGTTCATTAGTATCTTCCTATAAATAACAAAATGATACGTTAATGACGTAATATCAGCTAATAGGTGACAAGGTCGTCTAGATTGTGATCAAGACTAGAAGTGACCACTGGATTACACACAAGATCTATGACAACTGACTGACTTAATGTCAGCCCTTGTAAGTACTCTTTTGGTCTTTTGAAAAGACTCTTTTCGAATCGCAAAATACTGATGAGAACTTATAGCCTTCCACCTGTTTTCATTTGAAAGTTACCAGTAGATTTTGCGCGAAGGAGTATAAGGAACGTACTCTTACTGTCGTACCCACTCCCATACATCCTCAATCTCACACACTTTCGCATTACTTTCTACAAAGCATCATATTAATTAAAGGTTGTCTGGTTAAAATCACTATAAGTGATAAGACCTTTTGTGCCCATTACACTAGTTTACACGCTTTTCTTACCCCAGCTGAAAATTGTTCAAATCCAAAATAATGAAGATATGCAGTTTTCAACGAATCTACAATAGGTCTTCTCTTTTTTGAAAATATAAACTGTCCACAAACATAACAAAAACGGTCAGAACTTTGTTTGCACTTTCTGCTAACCATTTTATATCAATCCAAAGCAAAGTAACTGTCGTTTGAAGCGAACGAATAAACAATAAAATATCACCTCCACGTCAGGTAGTTAAAAAATCCAACGTGATAAAATATTTCTACTAACACTTTTAGGTTTTTTTTTTTTTTTTTTTAAGGGGGGAAAATCATCGAATGACTGCCCCCGCCTGGGTGAGGCGGGAGGGAGTGTCAGACTCTTACTGACTAAAAACCACCCCGTTCCTTCTCCTGCACGTCGAGCCGGAGCCCCGGTTACCCGTTAGGTTCTCCACTTTTAGGTTTAGGGAAGGTAGATTAACATATTGACATACATTCGGTTCGGTGTCTAAATAAAAAGTAAAATTTTGTAAACTAGTGTTATTATCGGCATAAAGTCGGCACTGTCTCGTTGGCCGAGTGGTCGCAAGTACGACTGCCGGGCAAGCAGCAAGCAAGGTATCGGGTTCGATTCCTGGGTCGGGCAAAGTATTACTGGGTTTTTAACAAAATTTTCAGTAGTAGCACGGAGTCTGGAATTGTGACCAGTACCTATATGGCAATAGGCTTACCCCTTATTACATGGGACTCATAAATAATGAAAAGGGGGTGTTATATTGTACAATGGCATTAAGTGCCATAATGTGTACCTCTGCCTACCCCTTCGGGGATAAAAGACGTGATGTTATGTTATGTCGATTTTTAACCAACTCTTGTCCCGATTTCGTACCCTTAATGACCATACATAGAAAAAGTCCCGCTTTTCCCGTAACAGAAAAGGTTCATAATGCAGATTTCACAGAACAAAATATACCAATGATTCTGTACGTTCATAAAACATTGATGAAAACACCTTATTCACCGAATTACAGGTAAAAAATGAGGTTATTAACCTTTGATCTTGACTTGCAATATTTCGTGATGATGATGTAACCTCGTACTTTGAGACGACCGTCACGCTTTGGGAACTTGTAGCTGTCTAGCGTAACAATAAATTAAATCTATGTGTGTTGTTTTCGAGATATGCAATAGGATATTTTGATGGTATCACAGACCAAGTGATACCACGTCCCCACAGAGAACCGACGTGAAAATAAAACGCTTACGTTGTGTTTGTCCGTGTAAATGAGGTGAATATTATTATGTTCAATGTCCAAATCTATCTATCTATCTTCTATCTATCTATATAAATAAAAATGAATTGTTGTTCGTTAGTCTCGCTAAAACTCGAGAACGGCTGAACCAATTTGGCTAATTTTGGTCTTGAAATGTTCGTGGAAGTCCATGGAAGGTTTAAAAGGTGAGAAAAATATTTTTAGGCGGTACGGAGTTTGCCGGGTCGGCTAGTCTTCAATATATTTATTATCACTTAAGTAATTAAATGTTGGTTAACCTATAATTGGCGACTGTATAAGCCTAATACTTATTGTTATTTTCATAATCACTTAATACTATGTATACAGAAGCTGTTGGTATACCTATTTCAAGAAATTAAAAAAAATATCCTTTGCTTAACATCATCTCCACCGTCTCCACCTCTTACCATCCGTCTCTTCATTTGCTCTCCTATTCCAAAAACCTAAATGGAATGATTCTTCTGCATGGAAAGTTTAAATCTTGTCTGTCATAGCACGAGTACCCGCTATATTTTTATCAGTGTTGACATTGCTCTTAAGCATAGTCAGAAACAGCTAGATAAAAGAACTCATCGCTTTGTTCCAGGTCTATTCATCCTACTGCTGGTGGAATTGAGAGTGTTTCCAGGCGGTCAGTTGGGGTTCCAATGCAATGACCCCGCGCTCTCACATCCTTTCAATGGAGACACCATCAGCTGGAAGTGGCTGCTAGCGACGTCGATATTCGTACCTTTAATTGTTGTAAGTAGACGTTTATCATTAGGCTGCGCGACATCGCCGCGACCGCGCACGCTGAAGGAAGAACCCCTGTGTGGTTCGTAACTAGTAGAGCTTTTCTCAGTTTATTCACGTGAGTTACCCGCGATTTTTAGTTAGTTTATCATTAGTGTTGAAAATGGAAATTTTCATTTAACTCATGAACCATACCTTACAAGGAGTTATAAAAACCCTATTGTATGATTAATTGTTCTCTTTATTTTGTTTATGACATATCAAAGTCTTGCATTGTTTTTAACCGAGTTCAAAAATAAAGTTCCTAGTTTCTGAGTTTGACCTTTATTGCCGGAATACTGATACGTTACTCAATTTTAAGTTGTGCTTAAATATCGTGCCATCTCTGTCATTTTACAAAGAGTTTGTGGAGACAGAACTATACTTAAGCGCGACTTAAAAATGAGTAACGTTTCAGTATTCGGGCGTAAGTTTGTTTGTTTGTGCGCGGTTATCTCACGATAGGCTGAACCGATTTTGACGCGGTTTTCAGAAAAATGATTGTTATAGGTACTTAGGAGAGGGTTTTAGTATAATAATTAACAGACTTCAAAAAAAGAAGAGGTTGAAGTCGGTTTTTTTAAACGATTGATCTGAAATGAACTTTTCACAGAATTACTGAGCTTTTTGTAAGTTTGTAACATTTTAGACAATTTTAGTCTTAACACGAAGTTTTTATTAGTGGTTGAAAATCGTAGATGTCACTACTGTCGACTTTGGATCTGTTTCTTAAATGAAATGTGTTTTAACATGGCCATTTTTGTCTAAAAATTACATGATTTTTTTTTCTTTTACAGATGTTAATAGTAGAACGAAAGTACCACAATGAGAAGCCGCCAAAGTCCAAGCTGGCTGTGGAGTGGTTCAAGGAGTATCTCTATGGGTTGCTGGTCAACCTCCTTATAGTGCAGACCCTCAAACTTATCGTTGGCTCACCACGGCCACATTTCTTTGACACTTGCAGTCCGAACGAGGCACAGACTTGTCAAGAGTGAGTTTATTTAGACTTTTAGACCGAAATATACATAAAGACCTGAATAATTTTTTTATGGCATAAGCCGGTAAACGAGCAGCAGATCACCAGATGGTAAGCAATAGGCGTCGCCCATGGACACCTGGAATATCAGAGGCGTTACAAGTGGGTTTATACCAGCCTTTTGGGGATTAAGAGTTTGAGGTTCGTTGGAGATTGGGGAAGGGGAGGGGGTAATTGGGCCTCCGGTATTGGAGCCCATTCGTGCCGAAGCATGATTCTCACAAGCCACTAATTCGTCAAACTAAGCTGGGAGTAGTATTTCCCAAAAGTTGAGTCGCACGTCTGAGAGTACATAGTCTCAAGTTCCATTTTTTTATGGCATAAGCCGGTAAACTAGCAGACGGATCACCTGATGGTAATTAAGCAATCGACGTAGCCCATGGATACAAGGAGGCGTTACCGGCCTTTTGGGGATTCGGTATTTGAGGATTGTAGGAGATTCAGGTATTGGAAATATTGGGGAAGGGGGAGGGGGTAATTGGGCCTCCGGTTACCTCACTCACACGACGAAAGACAACGCAAGCGTTGTTTCATGTCGATTTTCAGTGAGGCCGTGGTATCACTCCAGTCGAGTCGGCCGATTCGTGCCGAAGCATGGCTCTCCCACACTTAAATCGATCCTAACATAAATACTTTAGGAGTTATTTTTTCTCAGCAGCTCAATAAAAACTCTTGATGGATAATACTTACTTAAATGGCATGTAAGTGTTTTGCTTAAAGTAGGAATGAAACCTGTATCAATCTATGTAAAGGTCTGAATACGTGGCGAGCTACACATGTACAAAAGCGCATTGGATCAGTCAGTCGGACACGAGCTTTCCTTCAGGACACACGTCTCTTGCAGTACACGCTGGCGTTTTTCTAGCTGTAAGTAATATATATATAAATTTTAGAAAGCTAATATCACTTATAACAAACTAGCGGCCCGTCCCGGCTTCGCACGGGGGGACTTAAGATTTTTTACATAGTTTTTCGCGGACTTTTTTAAAAATAATGTTAAGATGAACAATTCATCTATAGAGCATTTTTGTATAACTTTAACTATATGCTCAGCGCACGCCACGGAAGGCCTCAGAAACGATACTTTTCCCCCGTTTTTAAAACATTTTTGGTTACTGCTCCACAACTATAGGACCTAGCGTGATATTATATAGCCTATGTTACTTCTGAATAATGCAGCTTTCTAATGGTGAAAAAATTATTGCAATCGGTCCAGTAGTTTTTGAGTTTATTCATTACAAACATACAAAAATACAAATCTTTCCTCTTTATAATATTAGTATAGATATAAATAATGTATACCCAATACTAGTTGTGTAATATTTGTTACGCTTAGTTCTTTAGAACTGCTGAACTGATTTTCATGAATTCAGTTTACAGAGATCCATATAAATGAATACCTACGGGTATCGAAACCGAATTTGAAAGTGGAAAATTAGACTTGGGAGCTAAAAAGCGGAGCCACTAGCGTTTTTCCTTTTTTATGAAATAGGGGAATTAATTTTGATAATATAAAATGAGCGGACGAATCACCTGATGGTAAGCGATTAGCGCCACCCATAGACACTCGCAACACGAGGAGTCACAGGAGCGTTGCCGGCCTTCTAAAAAGGAATACACTGTTCTTGAAGGTCGTATTGGTTCGGAAATACCGCCGACCACTTTTTTATGGCATAAGCCGGTAAACGAGCAGACGGATCACCTGATGGTAAGCAATCGGCGTCGGCAATGGACACCTGAAACACCAAGGCATTCATTACAAGTGCGTTACTGGCTACTGGGTGAGCCTATTGCCATATACCGGGCACAATTTCAGACTCCGGGCTACTACTGAGATTTTTTTTAAACCCAGTAATACTTTGCCCGACCAGAGAATCCAACCCGAGACCCCTTGCCCGGCAGTCGCACTTGCTACCACTTGGCAATATGAGGCACTTATTAAAATATAGTCTCTAATTCCAGTACTACCTCCACCGTCGTACGAGTATGACGTACAAAGTGCTAGTCTTCCAAGTGATCTTCGTGAGCACGGCTGTAGTATGTAGTGTGTCGAGAATGACGGACCATAGACACCACTGGTGGGATGTACTGGCGGGGGCATTAATAGCTGTGCCTGTACTGTTTTATACCGTGAGTATATATTTTTTGGGCGTGTTAAAGGGGTTTTTGTAGCTTGTTTGCAAGAATATAAATTATATTCGTAAACCAATTGGGTGTCGCGGAGAACCTAACGGGTAACCGGGGCTCCGGCTCGACGTGCAGGAGAAGGAACGGGGTGGTTTTCAGTCAGTAAGAGTCTGACACTCCCTCCCGCCTCACCCAGGCAGGAGCAGCCATTCGATGATATTCCCCCCTTAAAAAAAAATAGCCAATTGGTACTTGCCAACTAGTCAAATTCAATACTTTTTTCGAACTGTCAAAAATGACAGTTTTCTATGAATTTTGTACGAGATTGTGTATTGTGACGTCACGTTTTTTTAGTGTCAAACAGCGTACTTATTTCTTAATAATTTTGCTGGATAAATACTAAAATTAAGTTGGTCATAAAATCAATTAATGAAAGTGTGATTGTTTTTTAATATTTTATTGTATTGAACAGTCGAAATAATTTATTTTTGATGATGGTAAGTGCCCATTTGATATAGCAACGCATTAAATAAAAGGAACCTTTACACAACTAATCGACATTTTTTGCGACCGAATACTGAAACGTTACTCAATTTTAAGTTCTGCTTAAATATCGTGCTGTCTCTGTCATTTTACAAAGAATTTGTAGAGACAGAACTATGCTTAAGCGCGACTTAAAATTGAGTAGCGTTTCAGTATTCGGTCAATAGAGTTAAATGCATGTTCGAAATAAGCGAATTTTCCTTCATCGTAATGTAGGTATTTAACGATATCACAAAAAATGTCGCTTAATATCAATTAGCCTTTCAACAGTCGTAATGTTTTGTAAATTGGTATTTTTTTTGCTATCGGTTGCTCGATAATTTTCGGACTCGATAATAATCGAGGATCGAGCTTAAAAGTGCAAGTTGAAAGTGGTCAGGACTTTCGAATTTCGAAATTAAAAACTATACTGCTATGCTGTACTATGATATACTACAGCATGTTGCAGGTTCGATTCTCGCTCGGAAGAAATTTTACATTTGTGATCCAGAATTTTTTGTTTCGTGTCTAGCTAGGTGTGATATTTATGTGATAATAATTGTGACATACAGACCAATCAAACTACCTACCAAAAAATAACTGAAAAATTAATTATAAACCAATACGTTTTACTTTTTTTATGGAATAAGCCAGTAATCGAGTAGACGGATCACCTGATGGTAAGCAATCGGCGTCGCCCATAGATATCTGGTACACCAGAGTTGGTACAAGTGCGTTACCGGCCTTTTAGGGATTAGGAATTTGAGGATTATTATGGATTCAGGTCATTCATTATTATGGATCAATTGAGCCTCCTCTAAATTGGTACTATTAAGATTTAATAAGGTAATAATGATTTTCCATTTGTCCCAGATTCGTTCCCTGTGCAACAACTTCGAGTGTTCAAGCAACAGTTCGACCCCAGACGCTCCGATAAGTGTTGAAACTAAAATAGTTAATATACCTTTAATAAACGCGAAAGAAACATAATTATTATATTTCATAAATTAGATAAATAAATTCTTATAAACGGTGACAAACTATAATGTACCTTAACTATAAGGCTGTAAGATTGAAAGTTGCACGTTAATAGATAATTTGAATTTAGAATTTGTATTGAAGTTTGAATTGGAATTTGAAGCGTGTAATTCGAATTGAGAATTAATTGCAATTTAGGAATATGTGCGTTAATGTAAAGAAATAAAGTTTTAATTTCAATGAAGAAGGAAATCGCGCTATTTAATGTACATAAGTGAAAATCATATAGTTATTGTTTTAACTTCAACTCAAGCAATTCACAACTTTATAATTGACACAGTAAAGTATATATTACTATGATGAACGCTAAAAATAATAAAAATATGTAATGTAATATATGAAACTGCAAGCGTTAGTTTATTGTTGGATTGTAAATCTTATGGCTATATGTGTTAAAGTCTCTTTTGGAATTTGAAATATTTTGTCATACTATGTTATTGAAGCTAATCAAATACATAGGTAATTTGACCGACTAAGTACATTAAATTTTAATACTATCTTGTATTAAAGGACTGGACAACTAGTCAAACTCAGTACTTTTTTATAAAATATCAATATAAGTACTTTTCTACGATTTTTGTAAGGAATTACTTACGTAATGAATTTGAGTAATGACGGCATATAATTTTAATTGTCTACATAGCATAACATAACATCACGCCTTTGTATCCCCGAAGGGGTAGGCAGAGGTGCTCATTACGACACTTAATGCCACTGTACAATGTAACACCCACTTTTCACTATTTATGTTATGAGTCCCATGTAATAGGGGGTGTGAGTTTAATTTCCTAAACATGTATTAATGTATGTATATTTACGTAAATGAGAGAAAGAAATCCCTTGTAATCAAGTGTGAACGGCTGGACCGTGTGCTAAGTATGTAATGTAACATTAAGGGCTCGTACACACCACTGCGATGCGATGCGATGCGAATTCGCAACGCAAAAATTACGATGCGAATTGCTGCGATGCGATGTCATGCGACAAGGCGTCTCCCAGGGTGACCGTCTTCGACGACCGTCAACCGAACTAAACGTATTTTAAATTGAAAAATAGGTCGTGACATGGATCGTAAAAAGAAGTGTGCACTTCTGTTATTGCTTAGGAGATACAGGAAAAGAAACAAAAAATATTTTGGGAAGATAAGATTTTGATGCGCGATGCGAATCAATTCGCAAGTTCTTGCGATGCGTAGAGGGAGCTCGCACATTTCGAGGGATATCGCAGTTTTGTGTACGAGCCTTGAATGTTTGTGTATCTACAGTACATTCCAAAATAATATTTACCCTGAAAATGAAAATGTATAAATATTCGTTAGACACACACAAACACACACACACACACACACACATGCACATAATAGCAATGTCTAATAGATGTCGAGACGCCTTCTAAAATTCTATATTCATTCAGTAATATTGACCACTTTATTGTTAAGAACCTCTTAAGTACCTACAGGAGGAATTGACATTTGGGAGCAACGAAACGTAGCCACTACCCATTTACCTACAGCCCCACAGCAGGCTGTAATGGGCTGTTGATGTAAATTTTTTTTTATGGGATATGTCAGTAAACGAGTAGACGGATCACCTGATGGTAAGCAATCGGCGTCGCCCATGGACACCTGAAACACCAGAGGCGTTACAAGTGCGTTACCAGCCTTTTGTGGATTAGGAATTTGAAGATTGTTGAGGATTGGGTATATTGGGGAGGGTAATTGGGCTTCCGGTAACCTCATTCACACGACGAAACACAACGCAAGCGTTGCTTCACGTCGGTTTTCTGCTCGGCCGTGGTATCACTCCGGTCGAGCCGGCCCAGCAGTGCCGAAGCATGGCTCTCCCACACTTACAACTTAATTTATTATTTTTTATATAATTTCATAATATATTTGATTTCTAAGTTATATGACTGTGATTACTAATACTAATATTTATTTATTTACTTGTGTTATCATTTCACCAAAGTATTTTTTTTTTTGTTTTGTGATATTTATTTAGCGGGTGTTCTTTTTATGTCTTTATTTATTTTAATAGAATATGGTGATGATTTTAAATTCTTCATAAATAAATTGTCTAGTATTTAGAAGTACCTACCTATAATTATTCGTTGAAATTGGTATATTTATTTCAACTTTATTATGCTTTTAATTTGTAATTTGTCATTATAGAAATTGGGTATTTTGAATGTAATTAATTCATTATAATTAAAAATAAAAAAATGTACTGCCTCCAGTAATATAATTAACACATTGGATGTCGTGTTGACAGTGATGCCCGACGCTAGCGGAGGATTCCATTTTAACAGTTATAGTCGGCAGTTAAAGGCTTAACTATTATGATATACAAGGTGTAGTTTTGAAGCCGTGTCATTTCTCGGGGGCATGTCACAGAAGTCATAAAGGTTCAATGTAAGAGAAAATTTCGGGCCAATAGTTAAAAATACGGCTATAATAAATCGTTTAAGTTCGACAGTATTTCTATAATAAATTATAAAAAAATAAAAATTCCGCAAAACCTCATAGACAAATGTATCCTATTTTTGCCTATAGCATTAATATATTATATACTAGCGACCCGCCCCGGCTTCGCACGCGAGCCATATGCATGTATTAACATATAAACATTCCTTAAGAATCACAAAAAACCGCATCAAAATCCGTTGCGTAGTTTTAAAGATGTAAGCATACATAGGGACAGACAGACGGCTGATAGCGACTTTGTTTTATACTATGTCGTGATAAAAGTAGCTATTTTTCCATGAGAAAATTAGAGTAATTATAATTCAAGGTAATGGGGACGAACTAGAATCTTACTTTATTATTTTTAGTACTAAGTACACCGTGAATTCTATTTCGTTTTCGTCCTGCGGCAAAACAACTTGCCCTATGGAATACTTTCAATGTATAAAGTAAAAACAAAAAAAAAAGATGTTATTTTTTTAGGTACAAATTCAATTCCTGGAAATACGCACATGTAGACGTTTTGTAGGTACTATTCGCATCGCACGTGCCACCCGACGAGAAATACCTCTTCTAGAATTACATGGCGTGATGTTTAGTTTATGTACCATGAGTTCGTCTAACTTCGTATGCGCTTTCGAAGTTTGCTTTTTGCAATGATTCAGCATTTATTTTTTGTTTTAAACATTTTATTTCTTTGTAAAACTATTGTATTACCAGGACGGAACCATTTTACTTCGGGACTAAAACGAAATAGATTTCACGGTGTACCTATAACAAATACTCGCAGGTACCGTGTAGTGTTTATTATAGAAAATTCGACCCTAAATATAAATTGTATCTGAAATTACAATGAGGTGAATGAAAACAGGTAATAAATTACTTTGAAATATTAGAGATAGTTAATCTACTTATTTTGAAAATGTACCCTATTGCTTTTAATTTTAAAGTATCATTTCTATTTATCTTTTGTGATACAATACTGTAAATATTATAAAATAACATCACGCCTGTCATTCTCCTGTAACACTAAATGGAAAAGCATTTAATAAAATAATCATAATTATTTTTATGCTATAACGTCGGGGATAGTACAAATCCTCGGAACTAGCATTTGATAATTCCGCGTACCTATCTGACAAATGTAGGTAATTCAAGTTTGACGAAAAATTCCCCAAAATCTATTTATTTCAATTTCGATTTGATTAAAGGTCATTTTAATATGTAAAAATGACCTGTAAATTCATCGAATTAATAAACTTAGTAAGTTTGAAACCTTTCCCTGTAACACTGAGGCCTTAGTACGAGTTTCTTTTTCGTTTAAAGTATACGAAACGAGATGGCGTTCTGGTCTCTGAGGCCTTAGTACGAGTTTGTCTTACGTTTAAAGTAATCGTAAGGAGGACGCGTTCGGCGCTGTGATTGGTTGCTTCTTGGTGCCGGCCAATAAGAGTGCCAAACGCGTACTCGTTTCGAATACTTTAAACGTAAATCAAACTCATACTAAGGCCTCTGATTGGTTGGTTCATTAGAGCCGGCCAATAACAGCGCCGAACGCGTACTCGTACGAAAAAGAAACTCGCCTCCGGATATATTGTCGATACGAGGCCCTTACGTGTGCTAGATTTGTGGATTTGCACTATAACCGACGATAAGTCATTTTGTCTTAGCAAAAACTTGTGTCTGCAAGCTTCCTAATGAAAGAATAGTAATAAGAGATTTTCGCCAAATAGTACACTGAATAAATGATAAGTGTAATGTCTATATTTTGTATATAATACAATGTACTATTAATTTATTTTTGATCACGTGTGTATTAAATAAAGGTGGATTATTTTTCAAAGACCTGTCTTTTATTCTGACCAAGTATAATTTTTAAATATGTACGTACGTATTTTTTCTATAAGTAATAACATTTGACTGGCTCGTTGGCGGAGTGGTCGCAAGTGCGACTGCCTAGGGCTAGGGGTCTCGGGTTCGATTACCGGGTCGGGCAAAGTATTACTGGGCTTTTAAAAGAAATCGTAGTAGTAGCACGGAGCCTGGAATTGTGCCCGGTATACGGCAATAGGCTCACCCCTATTACATGGGACTCATAACATAAATAGTAAATACTGGGTGTTACATTGTACTGTGGCATAATGTGCACCTCTGCCTACCCCTTCGGGGATAAAAGGCGTGATATTATATATTATATAATAACATTTTTATAGTAATACTAGCTGACCCGGCAAACTTCGTACCGCCTAAAAGTTTTTTCTCACCTTTTAAACCTTCTCTAGACTTCCACGAACCTATCAAGACCAAAATTAGCCAAATCAGTTCAGCCGTTCTCAAGTTTTAGCGAGACTAACGAACAGTAATTCATTTTTATTTATATAGATGTTTATTTAGAATTGTCATTGTTCCTTTTTAAATAGTATCTAAACATTTTTCAAAGTACTTAATTATTCATAGAAAACTGATACTAGATTACATGTCCACCCCATAAATCTTTTATTTGATTTTAGATAGTGAACCATAATTAGTAGGTAATTATGTAGAATCGTAAAAAAAACTGGCAACCGACGTAATGTCTAATAAAAAACAATCAGAATACAATTGCTTGTGTGCAGGTGGGCGGTTATTATAAATAAATAAAATAAATAACGTTCGGTCACTGTGTCAAATATAACAATAATTGGGACAATTTACCAATAATCATGTCAATTATAATAATTTCAAATCAAATACTATCCATTTCTTGTGGATCTCATTAAATATGTAATTGATGTTTGTCCGCAAACATTCTCTGACTTAACGAAAGCTTTTGATATTGTTGACATTATCAATTTTCCTTAAATAATGTTATAAGTTAGTTCCTGGTATTGATTTCCAGTATATTTCAAGTTTCAGTCGTTACCGGTCTTAACTTCAATATGAAATATATTAAACTAGCCTTAGTTCTATTTTCTTTAATGTTTACCAATATGGTGTACACCAAGGACTTTACTTGGGTCCATTTCATTAAAAGCTTTATTGAAAATGAAAGAAAACCAACAATTTTAATATTTTGTGATCTGTGCTGGGACAAATGTAAGTACCTAAATTACTTAGGTTATAATTTTGAAATGTCGTATTTGCTTACTAGTTAGTGGTGTCAATTTGGACGTCATGTAATATAACTTTATTATTTGATATGGTATAGAGTACTTAACAGACTGTAGGTACGGTTGGTGGGGTGGTTGGGCAACTGGCTGACAAGCAACGTTTAACGGGTTAGATCCTATGATCCACAGGTTGTTGTTCCGAGTCTGAGTATCATGTGTATGTGAAATTGTTTGTTCGTAGACGCACCCACGATACAGGAGAAAATCATAGAGTGGGGCAATGTTTAAAAGAACAGAACTAGTTAATTTTAACCAAGAATCTATGTGGTATACTTTTCTAGATCAAATAGTGAGTTTAGTAAACGCAGTATCAAATAGTGGCATCAGATCTTCTACCGCAATGGATGAAAGATCAAATTATTATCACCATGACTTGCTTTACTTATTGGACTTGGACTGCCCAAATGTTGCAGAAATTATTGCTTTGGTGAGTTTCCTTTACTTATTCTTTAAAATACATATAAATCCCTCTTAATACCGTATTTTTTTGTCATAGGCATCCGCTAATAGTCTGTTCAGTTCGCCATATCGCTGGTTGGTTATCACTTCTCGGGCAAATAATACAAATATAGATCTGCTCTATACCAGCCCTATTTTACCTGATAGTGATCTAGTGTTGGCTGAGAGAACTGGAAACTTGGTGAAGTTAACTGAATGTGAGTATCCATATTTTTTGTAAGGATGGAATAGAAAATCATCAAATGAGGATCCATCCTCGCCCTAGTTGTGGTGGGAGGTACAGTCACTCTGACTAAAAACCACCCTATCCTAACTTCTGATTCGTGAATGGGCCACGGTATATAGCGGCCTTACGCACAACGCCAGCAGGCCCTATTCGCATTAAATTAATATCCTTGATTTTTCTCGAGAGTCATTGACGTTTCCGAGATTTTTGAATCATGAATTTGTCCACAAGTCTACAAAATATCTCCCAATGGCTCCATGATATCGACTCCCCGTGGCTACTACAACGGCAGCGTGATGGACGTGCGTGCGCACCGCGAGCTGTATCGCCGCCGGCGCGACATGCGGGGGCACGCTATCACTATGTCCAACGTCATCCAGGACAGCAACACTACTCGTCTGCACCTACCCAGGGAGGATAGACTGTAAGTGGGGGTTTGAATGTTATTTTTGCTAGTCAAAGTGACTTCAACCACCATTTTTATAGAAATTAGAAAGCTCTAGACACTTTCGCTAAATAAGAATTTATTTAAACTGAATCATCTTCTTCTAGAGAGCCTGAATACGACTCAATAGCAAAACTCTGTTGGATGGGCGTGAGACTAGGGCTTGTCATGCTGAACGCTACCCCGGTGTACATATTTAGCAACCGATGGGGATACAAGGTAGATGGCCAGTGGTCGGGGATGATCGATGACGTGTATTCTGGAAGGGCTGAACTGGGTAAGTGGTAAATTAGATTTGAAAGTGTGAAATTAAAAGGGCTTGTATATTAAATGCCTGTTAGGAACTGAAGAGTTCGAATGATTGTAAGTAGAAATCAAATATTAAAGTTAGGTTTTACGAAGGATTAGAAAAGATTTTCTTATCAGTAGTCTTCTCATT